GAGGCATGGCCTATTTTCAGCCCCGATGTCACGTCCCGGTATTCATTCTACATCACCCATCCTTCCAGCATCACATATATTTCCTTGGCCCCCTGGGTCTTCCGCCTTGAAAGCGAACTTCAGGGCGATTCAGAGGCAGGCTCTGACTTCAGGATCAACCTTCTCATTAATAGCCAGGCTTCCACACGAGAGCGACTTTATAATAGTCCAGGTCAGGGTGATACGCAGTTACCTTTGAGTGCAGCAGTTGCGATTCGAGACCCTGACCTTGGCTATTTCCTATTATCTGCCACACCATATGAGCCGATTGCTCTGATATTTGATGCCCCTGACGAAGACTTTGTGCCTGTCCAGTCAATCTCACCAACTTTTAGCCAAGATGTCGAGGTTAGGCCACTCGAGTTTTTTGAGCCTCGCCCTATTTATCAGCCGTCTCACGCGTTCGACGAAAGCTCGACACTCCCGAGCTTCATCGAGCAGCTTCGCACAAGTCGCCACAAGACAATTATGCATCAAGAGATTCGACTGTCGCCACTTACTTTACAGCTCCTGACTGAAGCCCATCAGATACTTAGTGACGAGACACACAGACTTGGTGTAGCTGCTTCAGAAGTATTTCGCCGCTGCGCAAAACTCCAAGAAGAATTAAAACAACAAGTCACAAAGGCGAATGAAGTTAAGGCGAGAGTCGAGGCTATCACAAGTGAAGATCAGGCTGAAACGGGCGACGAACCAGGGTCAAGTAATGCCGCTATCGAGAGGCGGCTGCAGAGGGCGAGAGAGAAAGGGGAGGGTCTAAGCCAGCGCTTAGAAAAAATGAGGAAGACGGTTAATAAGGCTACCAATCGGGATCTTAGCAGGAAAGAGCATGATTGGGTCAAGGAGGTCAAGGCTCTGGATACCGGCATATTCGGAACGGCACACACGGCAGATGGGCCAAGCAGGGCTAAGCAATTTATGGACAGATACCAGAAGGTCACAGAACTGAAAGATGACCTTGCAGAACAAGCACATGCACTCGGAGCACCGGCTGTCGAAGAAGAAGGTAGCCCGAGCCCTTCAAGGGGTGATCTGCGCATCCCATCAGAGCTGAGGCGCGCAAAGATTGGTCAAGTTAAGAGTCTTCTGGAGCGAGAGACGGCATTAGTCGAGGCGGTCAAGTCAAGGCTGGAACGTTTAGCCGTGGTTGGGTAGAAAACATGAGCAACAGACAAAAAAGGTCGGTCCCATCCGTCCTGGATAAAGAATGTACAAATGTAAAACAATACTCCGATTCACGTCAGCGCAAATGCAAGGCTATTAGTCGTCAATATCGTCCTAGGTTCAACAAGGTTCAAGGTGGTCAGCGTAAATATCCCATGGTATTTCCCTGTCGAATGCCTCGACTGCATGGTGGTTCATGCTGAGTAAATAGAGAAAGCTAGTATCACGCTCTTTTTCGATCACTTGCGACTGTGTAGCAGTGTGCGACATGCAGTGCGGCCGACAGTGCCAGTCATCTTTCAGCCTGGCTCTGTCGTGTCATTGGCTTCTTGGTGTGTCTAGGTAACCCGAAATCTCGGTGGGCTCTGTGCAAAGTATACATCCAGCCGACCATACAGCAGTCTAGACCAAGAGAATACGACGACGCAAACCCGTCCAGTACCCGTCCTTGTCGCTTTTACTACCCAGCTAGGACATATATAAACGTCACCTTTCCAATGGATGCTAGAACCCGGCAGTGTGGGTGGGAGGATGAGGTTAGACTATACGGGATTCTCAGGGGGCGTCTTATCAAACCAGAAATCCCAGCCAGCCTGTTCGCCTCACTTTTCTCCAGCGCTCCGATGTCATCCACCTTTTGAGGTAGGCTGCGTTTATCCGAGGAGGCTAGGCACAGTGAAACCCGTTATGTGTGTGTTGCAGGAGTGCACCACGACTTCTCGGCTTTCTGACCATCACCTCGCTCGAGCCAATGAATGCCACTGGGCGTGATGCACAAAGGAAGCGTGGCTGCAGATAGCCATTATCACCTCGCACCTGGATCAGTATATAAATAAGATGGGCTCCGGACGCTCCGGCCATGATAATTGAAGGTCTCTGTTCCAACTTTACTCCTCGATGTTAGTGTACCTCCAAGAGCCCCCAACACCGGCTCACACACGTCTTCAGCATCTATCAGACACAGCCATGGCCCCTCAATTGACTCCCCCATCCACTCTCATCTTCGACAGCCGGACACAGATCATAGGTCAGTACCTGGACCCATCTCACATAGGACCGTACCCTGTTCTGATTGGACCTTTTTAGACAACTGCGAATTCATCATCAACAAAGATGAGATAGTGCAAGTGATTACCAGTAAAGATCCAGCAGACAAGCTCTTCAGAGCGTACGCAGTGCAAGGCAGCGAAGATATTCGCGAGGTTCTCTTGGCATCAGAACCCTGTGAAAACGCCCAGCAGGCAGTAGAATCGCTTCACACAAAGTCATGTGAGGCGATCCATAACTTCATCACGATCAATGGCTTCTCGAGACCCCGCGACCTGAAAACGGCGTTTCTTGAGTCAAACCTTGATGATGATGATAGTGCCTCTGTTATCTCGGGCCACTCGGAGTCCTCAACTGCCGCATTGTCTGAATGGGGCAGCTCTGGTGATGAGGCCATGATGTTAAAGCACGCACGAGGAGCCAATGGCGCCTCGAAGGATCGGCAACGTCCTTCTGGCCCCCCAGGCGGTCGTGCCGCCCAGGCAGCTGGTGCTCACGAGCCAGCAGGAGAGCCGCGTTCCAGGGGAGCAGCCCGAGACGCCTTTGCGCCAGCACCCCCACGCGCCCGCGCCGTCCGCCCTGCGCGCTCTCGTTCGCCCTCGTTCGCCTACAGACCAGCGCCACCGCTGCCACCCCCTGGTCACCCTGGACACCCTGGCGTGACTGGACCGCCAGCTCCGCCGCCTTCCATGCGAAACATGGCCATGCCCCCACCTCCGCACCCCCATCCATCGGGTATGGCAGTCGGTCCGCACCCCGGCCGTCCGCAGAATAACATGAACCCAGCTATGCCTCATACGCAACATTTCACGTGTTTCCACCCCGGGTTCCCCGCTGACGGTCACCCTTTACCGGTACCTCAAGGGGCCGGCCGACCTTCTAAACTACTAGGTCATAATGCCAACGACAACCCTGGACGGGGAAATCACCCGCCGCGGCCTCTCTCGGTCTTTCATCCACACATGCGTAGCCAAACCGTCCGCATCGTAGTACACTGGCTACACAACGGCCAACACCGGATCATAGCTCAGTGTCAGCCGACTCGCGAATCCCTGCAAAACGCAGCCCTCGCAGACGTGCGCATGAACCCGGGCGCCTTCACCAGCGACGACGGCCCCAACATCAGCAACAGCAGCAGAAGTGGCAACAGCAGGGATTATAGCGGAGCAGTCCTACGTGCACATGTACGCCAGGCGGTGTTTGCTGGCGAGCCGTACGACATGCGGACGTTCCACGGAGACCTAGCGCGTCTGTTCCACGCCATGGGCGCAGATGACAGCATGCCGTCATTCGAGGTCGTTGTCGAGGAGCTTCCTCGCGACTTCGATGACAGCGATGCTGACGAGGCAAGCGTCCAGGGATCCCCGGCCCCGACTAGAGGTGGATGGAGACTACACTAAACCCTAGCCTCACCACGTACACTGTCTACCCCAGACAGGGCAATTGGGGCTCTCAGAGATGTTTGCAGGCATACCGCTGTAACCTGTGACTTGGATCACGATCCTGGGCCGTTAGTACTTGGTTTTTTTTGTTCTCCCTGGTACGGCGTCCCAACACTCTGCTACCTGTACTCTCTCACATTACTTCTATGTAACACACAGAGTCTGTGCGGGTCTTTTTGGGGAGGACGGGTCTGTCTCCATTCCATTGGACCTTCGTTTTCCCTCTTTCTTATCCAATTCATATCCGGGCGGGACTCTCTTTGTACAAATTGAACTTCCTGTGTGCAGGCTTTGCTGCATTTTCGTCACTCGCTCTCCCTTCTTCCTCTCCTTAAACTGGGTATCATGGGGTGCAAAAGGGAAAGTATCAACGCGGGTTCCAAATACACCGCTGGCCTTGGTTGGTGCAGCGGCTTTATTCCGCTATGTACTGAATAGTTTGTAATTCAAGTAATTATCATCACATATTTGACTCCTAGCTAGTGTGTATGTCAGTTTGATATGTACCATAGACGAGAAGCCAGGTTCAGAAACCAGGTAGTGACATCAGGTTTTGCCCGCTTCTTTACTTTGCACTTGTGCGTATAAGAAGACCAGAGTCCGGACCTTGCTTTATTCTTGATATCGCCTTGTGGTGCAACTATACCAGTAGAATTAAGCTGATCGGTCACAACAGTCTCCTTACCTATACGTGAGTAATAATTGCCATCCAATACCACATAAACGCCTTGTTTCTTGCTCATAACTCAAATCAAGGGCCGAGCTAAACAAAGTAAATCAAATCCTCTCCTTGCTGGCATATAAACAAACAATACACATGACTCTTGCTATGTATATCAAATCTATATGTACACTACACAGGTTTCGCTTCGAGCGTTCGCCCTGTTTGTTGGAGAGTGTGTGAACGAGCGGGAATACGAGTTAGATGATCGACAGCAGGCGACCCGATGGACAGGAATCAACCACCAGTCGATTTCTCGAGCTAGATACAGTACGGTTATGATACACTACGTGTATAAAGCCGGGATCAAGGGTATCTTGATAAAACAGTAAACAAGAATCGCTTACTTTGCTTTACCTTCATACTGCAGTGCTGGGTATCCTTACTATTTCTTCCCACTTTTAACCACTTAAACTTACACTAGCGTAGCCTGGATTGTGTGCTCGCCTACCAGCTAGTGTATACGTATGTAGGTAGATATTTTATCACGTTAGGGTAGAGGCTAGCTCCCACTTCTCTCGTCGTTCCGCCCATGCAAACAAGTAGCAAACTTGCTAACAAATTCTCCAACCAACTACCACCTAACCGCCCGGTTAGCTCAATCGGTAGAGCGTGAGACTCTTAATCTCAAGGTTGCGGGTGTAAGTTTACATACATATATATGCACTTAAACTTGAATATGCAACTAATGAATCGATAGTCGACCCCCGCATCGGGCTCAATTCCTGATGCCTCTCAATCTACTGAGAGTAGCAACAATTCCATTTTTTGGTTTTTTTTCCTCTCTCTCTTCTCGTGGTTCATTTCCCTCCAGGGTTGATTTGTGTTTTTTTTTTCTATTATTTTCATTTGCTGCCTTCCTGGCCCACTCTCTGCCTACGTTACAACGGAGGAGGGACAAGACCAACAGATAGATATAGTGGCATCATATCATTACCGAATCAACATCCAGAACTCTGTTGAGGCGATTGCATGCCGGTTATCAAGATATCGTGCAGATCTATCGCCTCTTTTCCTAGGTAATTAATGAAAAAAGTATTGAGTCCTGAAAACGAGTGGTAGCTGGGATAAAACCGAGCGATCACCCACATCCAATACGTTAAGCAACAACCATGTTCCATGTCACATCTGGTGCAATGTGATGTACCGTATGCAACTCATGCCATCGGCGTACACATACATATACATACTGCGTACACATATACTACACAAAAAGCCATGGCAGGAGTGGGCGCCTGGAAGAGAACAAAACAAAGCTGGCTTGTGGGCATGAAAAGTACGAGCACGGGATCAACTCTCGTTGGTTTCTAACCACCCACTTCAACCAGGGGGGGCAATAAAGCGCGAGGAATCTGATGATACCGTACGATTCAGTGAAAGCCTCGATGTTCACGACATGTCCCGGGCCACGTCGTATTGTATCACAGTTAATCTCACCCAGAGAGAGGAATGGGGTGGTAGACTAGGTATCTCTCTCTGTCTGCCTGCTTTGTCCTGCCACTGGGAATTATTCCTCGTGTGGAACCTGTCTACGGCAGTACACGTGTAGTACCGGGCCGTGTGGTGGGACGCAAACCTACTGCGGTAGTGGCCTGGACAATGAATGCGAGTCACCTTTCTTGCTTCTGCTTCCCCGCTGCTGCACTACGGGTATCGTGACATATGATATATGGCATGGGATGCCTGCCGTGCGAGGGTCAGCGAGGCGGGCACAAGTGACTCACGTAAACAAGCACCGGGTACACGGAGAGGGAAGGGATTGGTCCGCTCTCTCGTGTGGGTGTGGTCTTGTGTTTCTCTGGACGAGCTCGCGGATTCCTGCATTCGAATCTGTCCTTTTCTCTTCACTTTTTCGGTATGTGTGACACAGGGAGATATCGTACGACTGTAGCCAGTACCGAGAACTGTACATCGCAGTATTTGAGCTGCATGGACCTGCAACCTTGCTAATCCATGTGATGTGGTGGATATCGTGGAAGTAAGTAAATTGCGCTATACTCTACGCTACAACACGGACATGGATATGGCTAGCTATCGCTACGTACCGTTCATAGTATAAGCGAGACGTAGCACGTATCGTCATTCTTACGGATAAAGAGTACACACATGTGTAAGAAGAAGAAGAAGAAGGAAGATGGTCGAGTACCCAGAACTCGGTTAAGCTGTGGAGAGCCCCAGCAAACAGTAAACTGGAGTAGTTGTCATCTCACTCGCTCCCGCGTGACATGTACTCTGACCTATATTGTTACATACAGCGGCACAGTTCATTCCACGGCGTGAAGCAGCAGCCGGGTAAGACTGACACATCACCAGAGACAAACTCGATGTGTCAGATCGGGCAGATGCGAGCGAATCGAATCCGCTCTGCCGGGTTTTTCGGGCAAGTCTCTCCCTTACTTGTTGCTTCGATTTGTATCCACTGCCCGTCGTATTCTGCCTTGTCGAGAGGGATACTACGAGAAGCAAGTATTCAGCGAATATGTTGACCGGTCGAATCTTAACGGCCAACAGGTAAACGAAACAGCCGGCTGTTCTGCCGTTAAGGCGATGAGAGATCAAATATACCAGCGCCTGGGTTCAGTGCTCGTGAAGAGCTAACTTACTGCCGCGGTGTGTAACCTGGAGTGTGTAACAATATCGTCACAAAGGTATCGACGTATATGCAGTTTGGACTTGTCCAGCAAAGGTGCTCTAGTCCCTTCAATGCAGCTAGCAGCCTCACCACATATGTTAGTCTAGATCTAATCATCCATAGAAATGACCAAGTAGTTGGTTGACCTCCGTTCCAGTCCAAGGTAATGGTCAAATGTCATTTCTGGAAGTGTCTTCTACATAGAGTGTACCATGTCTTTTATCATTGGCTATGAGGGATCTAGAGAAAGACATGGCTATGTGAAGTATGGAGCAGCTTGGTCTGTCGTGGAGGCTACCATATGTTATTGTACAACAGCACATTGCGTGCCTCTCTTCTCTGATTTTTTGGTGTTTATCTCACCCTTTTTCATTTTTCATTTTCTTTTTGCGCGATGAAAACAGCGATATTGGACCATTGCCCTTGGTTTCAACCTTTGCGTGCGCGTCATACTTTTCCGTATTTAGTATCAGGGGCCGTTTCGCCGAATTGAGGCTCGGTCCTTAGAGACCGCCTCTCGCTACTGCGGAAACAAGACTTGATGCTGCAGGGCAAGATTCTCTCTTCTTTCTGGTTCTGAAGCTTGACTTGAAGCAATTCAACGCAACGATAGAGAAGGTGCTTCCGTTCGATCGGAATTTCGCGCACGATATTCGGAAAGCAACATCTAGTTCGATTAATCTGTCGGACCCTTCTGAGTTCGGCTTGCTGCGAGCTACGTTAGTCGGTGTCTAAATTTCTACTATGAGTAAGTTGATGTACCTGTGCATAGCACATGCTGTTGCAACTTGGAGTAAGTTTTTCATACAATACTTTTGATCGAGCCTTTGAAATTAGGACTGAGGTGCAAGACGTGAAATAGGAAATGAAAATCAAAGAAGTGGCGAAGCGCGGGGACTATAGCTTGGCCATGTAGGGCGATGAAGGGTTGACGTAGGGGGTAGTCGTATTGTGAGTGTGAATAGTAAGAAAAAGGAACGCGATTTTCTTGAGTTCTTTCCCGTGCCCCTTAACAACTCCCACGTGCTTGACTGGAGTTCGGGAATTATGACACCCGTATTATGATTCAAGCTTGTTGCTTTTAACCCTCTTTTGGTTGAACTCTTCCTCTTCTGTTGATCTTTTCTACGAAAGATTCTGCACTGAGGTAATACTACCCCAATGGCGATTACCCATATGAGCATGGCCGAGGTGCGTCTGAGAGTGATATGAACACTCTAGAACTAGTAGTCAAGGGAATTTTCCCCATAGCCACCGTAGAGGTCGTCCCCGTAATCATTCCCGTAGCCATTTCCGTAGACAGATGTACCTGAATAGGCGCCGATCATAGCAGGAGACATCGGACCAGGCATATACGCCGGAGAAACAGGCGAAGCAGGTGTCTCGAGAGCATTGGTATCGCCTCGGTCTCCATTCTCCTGCTGAGGCCTGGGATACTGACGGCCGCTGTGCATTGGAATATCATATGGATTCGTATAAGCCGGCGATGTCAACTGTCCGAGGGTACCCGTTTGCTGGTCTGCCAGCTGGCTACCCTGCTGCAGTTCCGAGTGGTGTTGATACGCCGGCAAAGGTGTTTCTGGCCTTGGACCCGTCGGATGAATAGTTTGTCGTAGACCAGCATGGTTGAAGATGACTGGAGAAGCTGGAGGCAAGGGCGTGGTTGTAGGAGTTACATTGGGATCCAAGTAGGCACGTCGAGCTGGGTGCGTATGTCCCCCCGGATTTATGCTCTCGTAGCCATCGCTTGCCTGAAATGGCGGAATGCCCATACTATTGTAATGAGAAGGAGTGCTCCAGGTATGGGGAGGAGGTGGAGGAGGGCGGCCGATCGTTCCGTGCTGGCTGCGACGAGGGAGTAGGGAGTTTGGCTTCATTGGATCCATCCACCGGTCTTCTGCAGTCAAGTCAACTTTAGGATCCTGATCCGAGCTAGAGGTTATGTTGATACTGGGAAACTCACGACTTCGCTGAGTGTATGTAGAGTTAGAAATCCAGGCTCTATCGGTATCTGAAAACTGTGTACATGAAAACGAGTCAATATAGATCTCGCAACCTACGTATCAACCAGCCTACCAGGGGATAGGGCATGGGGAATTTGATACGTACCAGTTGTACGTTCTTCTGGATACGAGCAGCGCTCAGGACACAATTGTCTGATAAGCATAAATCGTTAGCATGATGACTAGAGGGTTGTATAAAAGAAAAATAGAGTCAAGGACTTGAAAAAGAAACATATAAGCGTGACTCACCTTGGTTTTGGCTGGACAAGGAATATTCGCCCTGGTTGAACGAAGACCGCCGTTTCTCAGTATCATCAAGGCTCGGATTACGACGTCGTTCTCGACGCATGAGAACCCATCTATAAAAGGTATTATTGAAACCAATGCAAAGGCGCTGGAACGCGTACTTCTTCGAGCGAGTAATTCGGAACGGAGTTGACTGTCTCCTGATATACATCATGACCGCTTTATGATTCATCTCGAGAAAGTCCATGAGTTCCCTTACGTCAGTGAGTGGAATGTCGTGCTTGTAGTTATGCGTGCCGTGGAGAGCTTCATTTAGCTTCGTGGCGAACCGGAGGATCCAGTCTCTAGCTTGGTTGTCCGAGCGTTCGCCGTTCTCGTCTCCAGGGGAGGGCCGCTTCTTGATTTTCTCTTTGGAGGTGCCATGGTGTTCGTTCTTACAGATCAAGGCACATACTGTGTCCAGTTCGAATCGAGACCATTCTCGTACTTTGGGCTCTTGCTCGGGATTAGAGGATGATGGAGGAGTGCCGTCGTCGGACGGAGAGGATCCCACGGTTTCCATAGCACTTGCCATGGTAACTTCCGGGGCTGTTAAGGTACCGAGGAGAATATGTTAGTAGGCAAACATAGAACTTCAGGATAATGAGAGAAAGCTATACACTTGTTTGAGGTGATTGGAGGTCTGGGGGTATTTTGAGCTTTGTCTAGGAAAGAGCAGTAAGATTATAGTATAATGGGTAAGAAGGAATAATAGTACCCGAGGTTGGGACGCGAGTTGATGGATAATATGTGTAGATTGACTGTATTTGCACGAGAAAACGGTTCACAAAAGCGAGAT